ATCGGCTATTAAACAATTATTAGGCTATTAGTTATTGAATTACATTTTTCTTTTTTTTTTAAGTTTAAAATTTGAATTAAGACTTAAATTTGGTTGTATAATTTGATTTCCTTTAAGAACTTGATTATGTTAATATTTGATTGGAGATTGGGTTGTAGAGCTTCACTTAATTTATGTGGTATGTGATGTTAGATTCTTGATTTTGCATATTTGAAACAATCAGTGAGTAAGTGTTTAACAGTGAACTCCACACTATATGATTCACACATGAGAGGGTCTTTTCTAGCCATGAGGTAGTTATATATATATATATAATAGAATATATATATAATTTAATTCTTTGTCCTACTTACCGCGGTTTATGATTTTATTGAATGGTAATACTAATTGATAAAGATAATAATCAATAGTTAATATTTATTAATTAATTAATTTTAAAATGAATTTTTAAATGTATAATTATTACTAATTTAATTTTTGTCATTTATTATTATTTATTTTATAACAATTATGAATAATGGTGCCTTCTGCCGCCTGGAATTTTTTTTTTCAAAATGTGTGGATGACATAACGAAAGCTCAGTGCACATTGTGTGATAAAAAAATTTCGAGAGATGGATTTAATTCTCTAGATTTTACAACATCCAATTTGCGTTAAAATTTAGATAAAGAGCATCATTCAACTTATACCCGGTTTAAACGTAAACACAATGAAAGTTACAAAAGTGTTGATTTAGCTGATGTAAGTAATACTTTATAAAATAAATATTAATAATTACAAATTTTTTAAGTGTTTTTATTGATTCTTTATTTTAATATTTTATCATTTTATTTAAATATTGATCTCATCGTTTAAAAGTACATAGGTACCTAATAAAACTTAAAGTTGAAAGTCATATTTTTTATGATATCATTACTTGTTAGTAAATATTAGTAATACACTAAATAAATTAAATTTATAATTTGGTTAAATTAATTTAAATTTCTCAATTCAGTTAGAATCAGTTCTTATTTGAATGTTGTTCAGTGCGGTTGTTTTTGTATCGCTCTCGTACGTTGCGTAATCTTCTAGTGTATACAAATTTAATATTTTCAATGTCTACCTGTGTAGAGTGCTCTGCTAAAATTTTATCACCCCCATCAATATCATGTTCTAACTGCCTAAAAGTTAGACACGTTAAATGTGCAAAAATCTCCAAAGATGAATTTGACAAGCTTACCAAACTAAACACACCTTGGTATTGCATAAAGTGTTTTGATAATAGTGATAGTGAAAATATACTTAATTTATATTATATCAAAAATCTCATTATTGAACTTAAAGAAAATTTTTTTGAATATAAAGAAACCGTTAATAACAATCTCATATCAATTAACAACAAATTGGATAATATAGATGAAATCATCATAGAAAATTCTAAACTTAAAAAGGAAGTAAGTCTACTAAAAAATAAACTCAAAATACTCGAAAAAGCATCAATCTCTAATGAAATAATAATAGATGGCAAACCCGAAGAAAAAAATGAAAATATTCCTGAACTCATGCTAAAAATCGCTACAAGACTAAATATTAAGCTTAATAAAATTTTTATAAATGATTGTTATCGTGTTGGCTCAATAAATCATACGAAATTCCCAAGAAGAATAATTGTTAAATTTATTCAACACAAAGAAAAAATTGACTTTATACAATCTCGAAAAGTCATGAGAAATTTTTCTACTTAACAATTAAATAGAAATGATGATTTACCTATTTATATCCGTGAAAACTTAATTTCAAACGGGAACAATTTATTTAAACTGGCACGTGATTTTTATAAAAAATTCACAAATTTGTTTGAACATCAAATGACAACATATTTCTAAGACAAAATGAGCCTTCAAAAATTATTTACGTAGGAAACGAACAAATTTTATCAAACTTAAAAGTAAATTGTAATCCTTTAAACTTATCAAATTTATATTAGTACTCATTAAAGTTTCTTATTATTTATACATAAAATTTTCGCTTATTTTTTTTTTTTTATTTAATTTATATTATACAAATTAATTATTACACCATTTTTAAAAATCCTATTTTTTTTTGCATACAATTTTTTGTTAATTAAAGCAAATTCATCTGATTTTTTTTTTTAGTATCAAGCCATAATTTATGTTACATCATAGCATCAATTAAGTCTAATAACATTCTAATCAGTAATGATAATAAATTAATAATACCTCGATTCCATGTGCCACCTGTTATCAAAATGATTTATTTAACAAATATGACATAACAAATATGTCGATATCTTTTCACATTATTATACCTTTTTAAATTGACTCTCTTAATAATTATTGTGGCAATTTAATTTTACAAAATTTCAATGAAACTAAAACAAATATATATTCTATAGAACTAATAAAATTTTCTTTACACACTATCAATGCAATTAATATTATTGCAATAAGTATTTGTTGTGTAAGAAAGAATTTTGATGAATTATGTTTAACTTTAGGATAGTATTCCGGTGGTTTTTGATGTTATAATTTTATATGAAGTGTGGCTCGGCAATGAAAATATGGATGCAAATACTTTCCAAATTCCGAACTACTCTCTCTATTTTTCTAATCTTAATGAAAACCAAAATAATGGTGTTAAGGTATTTATTAATAACTTAATAGCCTTAATTTCCAGTATTGATAACCTCGTTCAAACATATACTGCTATAGAAATCTTTATAACAAAATGGAATTCTACATTTTTAATTTATACAATATATAGATCTCCAAAAAATAATATAGAATCTTTTATCGATGAACTGGAAAATCTAATTTTATTTAATTTTATTTAATTTATTTTGAACCTTTAGTGCTAAAATTTATCGTGAACAAAGCTTCTGCTGCCAAAAGCTATAACTTATCGAATAGGTTATGATAATAATCATTATCTTAAAAACTACTCGTAAATTAATATGTATAAAATATTATTTCAAAAATCTTAATTAATTTAAATTTCAATAGATTTAACAAAATTTAATCTTGGCAGGTTACATACATTTATATACTTAAACCCGGCAACGACGGGTAATTCAGTTAATAGGAGATATAAATAAAGATTTGTTAAAAGATACGACAATTCAAAACAAATACCTTACATTGATGGCTGAATATGGCTATTTGAAAATGATTAACAAAATGATTAGATATGCATCAAATACTTGAATTGATCATATATTTATGAAATGTAAATCTATACAATTTTCCAAAGCTATAATTAGCCCAATTACAATAAGCGATAATTAAGCAATATTCTTCAGTCTTCTTCAGTATTCAATCCTGAGATTGGTTTGTAACAATTCTCCACTCTTCCTTATTACTTGCCTTCCGCTTTGTCTCTTCATAAGAAGTCTTGGTCCTCTATTATATGTTGCATATATTCCATTTGTGGTCTTCCCCTAGCATTTTTTCCTTCCACACAGCCTTCTATAATTAATCCTAGCAACCCATCATGTCTCAAAACATATCCAATCCATTCATTTCTTCTTTTTTTTATACTACTCCATAGAGTTCTTCACTCGGACATTCTTTCTAATACTTCCTCGTTTGTTATCATGTCTGTCCAACTTATTTTGAGCATTCTTCTGAAACACCACATCTCGAAAACTTCTATTTTTCTCCGTTATTTTTTGGCAATCGTCTAAGTTTCGCTGCCATAAAGCGTTATACTCCATACATATGTCTTCAGAAGATTTATTCTGATGCGTATGCTAATATTTTATTATAATAAGTATAATATAAGAATAATTTTATACTTAGTAAAGTCTAGAGGAAGTTCTCCTGTATTCAATATCTCCTTTATGAATTTAAAAAGCTCACTGCGCATTTTTTTCACCAGATTCTTTCCAAAGTTCTGCTTGGATTTCGTAAATTTCTGCAGCCTTCTTCTTTTTTAGATCTTTAAGTGTTTTATCAAATTCTTCTCTCAGTACACTATAATTTGAGCTATTATCCATTACTTCTTCATCCTCTATTTCTTGTCCCATGAGTTCTGACTCCTCATATAGCTGTTCTAGATACTTCTTCCATATGTTCCCTTTATGTATGTTCTCATAAATAATTAATCCATTGTTATCCTCTATTTCCCCCTTTTTTGGTTTTATAATCGTTAAAGAAATTTTTAACTGATTTATACGCTGCATCTCTGCTACCATTCCTCATTTGTACCTTTAATTCTTTGCATTTTTCCTCTAAAAAAGTTTCCTTTGCTTCTTTTGACTTTCGTATTACAAGATTTCTTAGTTCTCTGCATTTCGGCTGACTTTCAAGAGTAGTTTCATTCTTAAGCTTTCTTCTTTCTTCTATCATATATTCTTGCTATCTCTGTTGTAATCCATTCATTCCTAGGTACTGTTGTTTTATTTTCTTTTAGAGTCTTTGATGCTGCTTCTGTCACTGTGTTCTTTATAATACCCCACCTATTGGTTATATCGGTTCTCTCATTTATATTTATATTGTTTGTAAGTTCTTTAAACTTTTCATTTGCCTTTTCTTCTTTTAATTTATTTATATTCCATCGATCATTGTTTCTCATTGATGCTATGTTCTTGAATTTTAGGTTACTTTTCATCATTAATAGGTTATGGTCATTATCTATGTCTACTCCTGGTTAGCTCCTGCAGTCTTTTACTTGGTTTCTAAATCTCTTTTTGACTATAATATAATCTATTTGATACCTACCTATGTCTCTCGGCATTTTCCATGTATACCTTCTTCTTGGACGGTGATTGTAGTAGGTATTTGTTATTAATAACTTGTGTTTTGAATAGAAATTTATTAATCTTTCTCCTCTTTCATTTCGGTTTCCTAGACCATAATTTCCTATTATGTTTTCTAGGCTTTCTTTTCCTACTACAGCGTTCCAATCGTCCATAATGATAAGATTCTTTAACATCTCCTTTAACTTTTTCAATGATTTTTTCTATTCCTTCATAGACTTCTTTTATTTCTTTCTCACTGCTATTAGAAGTAGGCATGTAGACTTGATTGTATCAATGATTGAACTATGATTGTATCATTAGGTTTCGCTTCGATTTTAACCAATATTATTCTTTCATTGTACTGTACATATCCTTTAACTTTATTTCCAATAGCCTTACTCATTATTATGCTTACCCCTCTAATTCCTGGGTTATTTTTTGTAGTTCCTGTATGTATCAACCTGTATTTCCCACTCCATAGATCTCCAGCTCTTGACCATCTCATTTCTGACAGGCCAAGGATATCAATCTTCATTCTTGCCATTTTTATTTTCAAGTTTTCTAGTATCCCGCATTGCAACATGGTTCTAACATTCCAAGTAGCTATTCTTTTCCAATTCTTAATATTTTCTTTTTCTCCAGTAGTCTCCACCCAGAGATCTGATTGGGAGACTATTTTACCGCAGGAATATTTCACTTTAGAAAATGTCATGTTATTGCTATTTCTTGGGATGATTTATACGGTGGTCCCCCCTTGCCTTCTGTATAGCAGTACAGCCACCAGTTATACAGTTTTCGTATCTGCTGGCTGCTGTTTGGTGTGTAGCTGTTTCTATCATTGTAGGTTACCTGCACTTACACTCAATATTGTAGTAGCTGCTGTCCTGCTACAAGTCCATTTCAGTCACTTTTTACGACAGGCAGGAACAACTGATGGTCTATTTTAACCCCGACCAACAGGTGTAATTCCTTAGTATCGGAAATTTAATAACAAATAGAAGCAATACTCCAAATCCATTTACGACATCAAAAATAAATATCTCAAAGCTCTTAATATTTAATTTACAGAACAATGACCAACCATGGACATTCGTTGACTACAGTATGCAAGAAGCTTTTCGACTTAATAAAGTAAAATATTTAAAAAAAACAAGTATCATATTCTTTTTTTGTTCAAAAGAATTTAGTACTACTTTATAATAGTACCAGATCTCTAAAAATAAATGATTGGAAAGATGTAATGGATGTATTATGGAAGATAATCAAAAATATGTTTTATAAATGGTATATTTAAATATATATTTTTTATTTATGAATTAATTATTCTAAAATGTATTTGCAGGAAATTTAAAATAATTTATATAAAATTATGTCAAATTTGATAAATAAAAAACGATGTGAAAGAGTGTTTCCAACGGTGAAACAAATAGTTTTTTGTTAATGTTACTTTACGTTTTTTATATACTCAGAGTCAGCAGAAGTGTTTTTTTTTTAGATCATAAGGCTATTTTTTGCTGGTTAGGTTAGGTTATACATGAATTTCTTAAAACTCTATAACCGTTTACCTTTTGCCCCATCAACATTTTTTGATGTAATGCATTGGAAATATATAAATTGAATGAAAAATTTATTTCTTCAGAACATTATTCTCTTATTACGTTCGTGTTCCTTTTCTTAAAAATTAGGTTTTTTAAAATATACTTTTTGAACGAAGTGCCATGGTATACAATATAATGTGACCATTATAAATTTATTAGTTATTATTTATACAATAAAAATTATTGTTAATTAAAGATAATATTACATATCATGTACAGCCAAAATGCTCCTACTTTTCGTTTAAAGTCAAGGAAGTCTTTCTTGAAGATGATTAAAGAGTTACCAGACAAACTCTTACAAAGTAAGTTAGATGAGATGGAAACTTCGGAAAAGTTACTTTCTGTCTACAACTTAGACTAACCGGTATGAAAGACGCTGAATACGTCAATAAAAAATATAAGAACATGGGGATATAGAGAACAAAATATAAAATATGAATGTGGACAAAAATAGACAATGTCACACCTACTTGTACGCCTATCTTTCGGTAAGCAACCAAAATGTGATAAATACGGCTCAAATTTGGGCCAAAAGAAATATATAACCAATATACACTATCATATATCATTTAATTAGTGTGTTATAATTATTCATATTTTACATTTTTATATTATTTGCTATTTATTTATTTTAAACCATTCTAGTTCGTTGTATAAATTACATGTTTGTTTTAAGTTTTTAAATATATGTTGCCTGAAATGAGCAAAAAAACTACTAATCATGTCACTATAAAATATTAATACCTTATTTGAATAAATATATACATTTCTCAGTTGTTATTATTTGATGTCGCATTCACGCACGCTGATACTTTTGCGGCTTCTCGAGGGGAAATGCGGAAATCGGATCGTGCGTGTTATCTATGCAGTGTATGTGAATTTTGAATAATGTTGTTATCATTGGTATTGCAATTAATTAGCACCAATTGTTTCTAGTGTAACGGATCATAAACAGTACATCTTTGCGCCAAATATTTACAATCACTTAAAACATTTAATATGATGTTATGATGTATCTATATTATTTTTAAGTATTTTTTGGCAGGGGGACTACCCACCTACCAAATATTTAGAAGGATCAATTGCTCCAAAATAAAATCATCACTACGCCACTGTTCGTGACGTAAGTTAGTTTGTGTACTTAACAAATTAATATTGTGCCATTTTTTTTTTAAATTTATTTATTTTAACTCTATATCTCATATTCTACATTTTAATTTAAAGTATGGATCTACGAAATCAAGATTATATCATTTGTCTAATTAATGTTTTCTTTTGAAAGTTCAACAGAATGTGTATGTGGATAATTTTAGACCTCAAACCTGAAACCAACTCCGAGACTCTTGCTCCTAGATAACGGGTGAAAGACGATACTACCAACCCTATTGCATAATAATGGTAATAGGAACTCCCTGCGCTATACTTACTATTCTCGTTAAAATGGGGTTTTGTTTGTATTTTTATCATTTTAATTACAGTTTATCCCATTATTGTTATATTATTATTCTTATTATATTGTAAACAGCTAAGGTATCATGTATAACCGTCTATATTTTAGGTGTATGCTACACTTAGTGCAAATGAAAATTTATCACGTCATGGTGGTGAGCGTTATTTTGGTAAGAGCAGTCATACCATGTTATTATCATGGACATTTTCAAGTATTTTTTATTAACGCTATATTATTCGGCTGGTATGCACAACGATAATATGTATATTCTAGTGTTGTATTTGCATAACATACGAATAATATATCCGTGCGCCGGAGCGTGCAGAACGATATGGGGCTCAAGATGGCGTACTTTTCGGATCCTGCGGTGGAAGGCGAGGGTGGATGCTGTGTTGGAAATCCGTTATGATTTGTTGTCCACCGTCACTAAGGATTTGTACCATAGGAGAATCTACAGGGTATGCCGGGTGTGCCAGGACACACCCTGCGACTCGTGTAAACCTATGTAGAGCTTATAATAATCATTTAAGTTTTTTTTTTTTAGCTTTTAGCTTTTAGTATTAACTATTACAGCTCAACAATTATATTATATACAACGTAATTAAATTAGATTAACAATAAGATATTGTATCATAATATTGAGTAGGTATACAGAATAGAAAAAAAAAACCAAAAATATAATAATATTAATAAGGTTAATATAAAGATAAGGGCGTATAGATTGCATAAATAGGTTGAATGCAATTGTTGGTAATTGGTTGTGATAACTTATGGGGAATTCGTTGTGAGTTTGTTTATTAGGATGGTGAGAAGGGAAAGTAGAGGGTTTAATAAGATTTTTATTTCAATCAGAAATGTAGATATAGTATCATAAATAGTGTGTGTTGGTTGCTCTGAATATATGTTGGCATACGTTGGACCCACTTTGGTGTTGTTGCCATGATGACGAGTACGAGCTTCTTGCCTTTGAGTATTTGGCATTTTTGTTTTTTTTTTTTATTTGATAGTACCAATTTCTTGCGAATTGGGAATCCTTTGTATGAGGCTGTGTGATCACTAGAACACAGAGCGCATTTAACCGGGAGTGACCGGTCTTTACTACAGTTCGCTGTGAGATGGTCCTCATCACATTTGACGCATCTAGGGGAGTGACAACAGTAATTGCGGGTATGACCATATGCTTGACATTTAAAAAACTGAGATGGGTCATTAATTTTAGAGTGTGGTTTTTTGATGACTACAATGGAATGGAGCAATGTTGATATGTTGAAGATATTGTGATTATTATTCTTAAGTGCCAATTCGACGTGGAAAAGAGGTAATGGACGTTGATTCTTTCTTATATTCACTACGCGTACCATGCTCCGCCAGGGCATCGGAGATATCGGATAGAATAGTGGTATGATGTAAATTGCGAATTACAACCTTAAAGTGGCGCATGTAATAGGGACGGAAGGTATGAAATTCCGCGCTAGTGCTTATTAGATACTTCGAAATGGTGGCGAAGGCAGGGTGACTGTTGGCCCTAATTATTAAATAAGATGGTGTGGATTTACAAGAAAAATCATTAATACCCGTGAGGTGTATTCATTTTTTATGAAACTCAGAAAAGTTTCTGATGTTCTTTACGTAAATCGCCGGCATATGAATGGACTTCAGTACGTTTTGACTTGGTGGTAGTTGCTCGCGCTCTGTAGCATTGGAGTTAGACGTAAATACGTCCGATACCAGCTCATCATTGGCCGTTGACAAAACAGCGAATCGATTTGGCGGGGTAAAAGATTTGGTTTTTTTTTTCATACTTGGGAGAGCTGGAGTGCGAAGACAAGTATCGTTTAAAATTCGTTGCCGGTGATGATTGAAGCAATGCCATACTAATATATGTGAAACGATTCGGTCCGTTACACACCCATTAAATATGTGTTGCGTAATAATGGACTACGGTCATTAGACGTTGCCAATACGGACTACGGAGCGCGATAAAGCACGTGCTCCCGCGATGATGGACAAAACCGTACTGAATCATTTAAGTTATAACGGTTTTGAGTCTAAATATTAAATAATCTATACATTTTAAAACATTTTTATGTATTGTCAATAAACATTACCTGATTATTTTTTAATATTATTAATATTGTTATTTAAAATAGGAAACATCTATTAAACATATGATAACTGATCTGTATTTTGAATTACAGAGGGCCTCTTTGAAGTAAAGGCACATTCTGCGATGAAATCCTAGATTCATCAATGATTTGTACGACTATACAGTATGACTCCGGAGCTATAAAACCGTAAGAGAACTAGTATTTTAACGCGATCGACTTGTATTTATCGTACACGCCCATCCCGCGCACACGGATCCTAATCACGTCGTTTCAACGACTTGACGCGAGCCGTCATTTTCGAAACCCCTCGAACGTTGCAGGTAAATTAAATTACTATCGTCGTTCGGGGCGCATGCACAAGTTTTACGCTCACGAGGTAGCTGGTCCGCTGGATCGGTATTTGAATTCGAACGTGATAAAACAAGGCTTGAAAAACGATCGATACGTATCGTATGTTCTGGGTTTATAGATCGGCAACTATGTGTCATAGGCAGTGGCGTATTCACCTTATTATTAAAGTGGAGGGAGGATATTTACCCCTACCAATAAAATGTACATACGTTTCAGTAAACGTAATTTGATCAAGATAAATAAACAAAGGATAGAATATAGATACTTCTGTCACATTTTTAAGAAATTTAAACGTTCAAAAAAAAAAAAAAAAAAAAATAGAAAAACCATCATAATATTGAAAAATACTTGTAATAAAAAAATGAAAAGCTCTAGGGTGAGGCGATGGGATCCGTAACACATTACCTCCCCTCAAAAACAGTGCAGGGTTTTCGGTAGTTTCGCGGTCCGTTGATCCGCCGACGCCGCGTACACGGGAAACCTTTTAAAAACTCGGACGCGACGTAATAATCCCCTCCGCGTGCAACGGCAGCCGGCAGTCGTGTTTCCGGTCGCGGCAGACCGCTCGCGTGTGTATTTTCTCCCATGCCGCGTCGTAACTATTACAATATTAAAATATATTCAAGACAATAAATCTGTACGCGCGCGCGTGATCGTCGTCTCCGCGTTCGTTTATTCATTTTTTTTTTTTTTGTTTTGTTTTCTCCGTTGTCGAATTTTTGATACACGTACACGGATGGGCGATATGAAACAGCTGAAGCCGTTGTCCTACGCGGCGGCGTCGTGTTTGCTGCTGATGACGGTCGCCGGCGCGTCGGTAACCGTGAACGTGACGCATCTGTGCGATTCGCGAGCTACCGCAACCAAAGATCCGTCGTCAAACACCGAGTCGTCGTCCCGACCGTCGAACGCGGACGGGCCGTCGGCTAGCTTCACCGAGTTTATCACCGTCCGCAAACCGTGGATGAGCTTCATGTACGCTAGTCGAACTAATGTGCAACGGTCATCATCACAAAATTTCTCCCGATCGCCCTCGAAATCTTTCCTTCCGTTCGTCTTGCAACCATCCCCACGACCCACTTTGCAATCTTTCTTAAATATCTCTACAAAACTCTCCTCCGAACCTGCCGTAGAACTTTATTCGCAATCTACTTCGAAACCTTCTTTGCGATCCACTTTACAGTCTTCTTTGCCATCCACTTTGCAGTTACTTTCCTCGCAACCTACTTCAACACTTTCCTGGAAATCTACTTTAATGCCATCTTCGCAATCCACTCCGCATTATACTACCTTGCAACGCAATTTATATCCTTCCCCGAAGTCTCCTTTACGGTCAACAACTCACCACCCTTCCTCACGACTCGCATCGGAATCTTTTTCACAATCCACATTTTCTCAAATCTCAACACAATTTGTACAGATATCCTCCTTACTGCCTTCATTGCAATCCTCCTCACCACCCAGCTCACGTAATTCCTCGGATCTCGTCATTAAAGGACCGATAGCCCTTAAACAAGTCCGGTTTCCCAGTGCTAAGTATGATGAGAACGTGAAACTGGACCAACAGACATCTCGTCCCGACTTCAGTATTACTTCTATGGGTCCATTCGGCTTCGGGCTCGTGGTTAGCGACGCTGGACTGCGGTTCATTGGCATTGCCGAGGCTGCGGTTATGTGGCACAGTATGCCAGCGGAACTTGTCATTGATCTCATCAGTAACCCGTACGAATGGGATGCAATAGCCAAGAAAGTAAATATCACATTTATATTAATAAATACCTCATAGGCGTGCGTATTTTGCGTATTTTATTCTTTAATATTTGGTAAAAAATAAATTATATTTCCTAATAGAAAATAACAAACTTAATTTTCTTAATTTTCGCGCAAAAACTTATTATTAGGGCAGAGAACTTGTAGCTCTAAAAAATCAAAAAATATGCAAGCGCTTATGCATTTAAACACTTATAATATCCTCTCAAAATATGCACTTAAAACATTTTTTCAGCGATTTAATTTCAAAGTATTAATACAATTAGTAGTATTTAAAAAACACAATATATTTTATGCCATTGCCAAGTAAATAAAATACATTTTTCTTAATTAAATATGCATTCAGCTCACTGAAACGATGATGTGGTATCAGAAACGATTATCTATGTATTAATAAAATTAATTACAGCAAATTAATATTATTGTTTTATCGGTGATCCGCAAGCACTTCTAGGAAAAACGTGTGATCGAACAATTTATACAAAAAAAAATTTAAAATAAATACGTTTTTATACAAACCTTTTTAGTCAGTTGATTATTTAAAACAAACACGACTGTGTGAAGAAAAATAACTCAAGTTAAATACGTCATGTCTCAAAAAGAATAAAATAGCGTATAAAAATATTAAATATGCCTTAAAAACAAAATATACTCAAAATATGCATTTATATGCAAAATAAAATTTCAAAACTAGTTTTGTTATAGCATGAAATGTATTTGTTTTGTACTCTGCTATTTTTATGCTGTGCATAACAAATATGTAAATGCTACAAGTCCTCTACCCTACTTATTATGACAGTATATATAACAGTTAAAATAGTCTACAAAAGTAGATACGATTCAAGGAAAACATATTCATTGAGACTATTATACCATGGTATTAAATAAAAATTTGTGTTTATTTAAACATTATATTTAATTAAATATATCAATAAGTTTTATTAAGATAGGGCCCAAAAGTATTGTAGGCACTTTCTGAAATACAGGTCTGCGCACGCCTATAATATACTTATATATAATGGTAGTACGATGATATGTAACGGAGACGGGAAAGGAAGAGTATTGTTTATTGAGTTTTCGAAAAGTGTTTTGTTTGGAAACGTATTCGTGTAACCGATTATTGCAGATAAACGCTCAATCGAACATATTAATGATTTTGAACGTTGTATATTCTGCTCGATAAAATGAGTAAAACCTCGGATGTACTATTTTATATATTTAAAAAAGTACGGTAGAAAGAAATTCTGTAGGAATAAATTAAATCGGTGAGAAAATTTAATTTGGTTTTTCATATTTTTTTATTGAATTATTAAAGCTCGAAAGGAAAAGAATAAATAATACGTTTATGTACAAAATATTAAAAATACTAGACACTAAATTTAATAATATAATGCTTCCTGTTTTGATGGTTGTACAAATCGTTAATAGTATCGTGATAATCGAATCTGTTCAGCATTTCGTTTTTTACATGAAAATGATTGTAAGTTTTAAAAATGTCGCAGCTTTTCACGTAAAGTTTTTGACAAGTTTTAACCTGTCAAAATCAATAAGATTACTTTATATGTATAATATTGTCTTGCATGTTGCACAGGAAATATGAAAATATGTCGTATAATGCTGGGCATTTTGTTTAGATGTATTTTCTGGTTGTGGATTTTTTGCCATTTTTATTGCATACTGTTATGTATATAATGATAGGTAATGTTGTATTATTGAGAAGTTATTAAAAATTTAATTCATTGTAACTTAATCAATTTAGATGATCTTGATTGGTTGAGGTTGATTTGAAAACCTAGATTTACCAACATTTTGCAAGATCAGTATGTATTTTTATCATCCTCGTATATTATTGTGATGATCGAGAAGCTCCAAAATTAATTTTCCCCAGATCCTAAGAATCCTTAGTATGGTTCTATATATAGAGATAAATGATTAAATATTAATAATTATTACATCAGCCATAACATCATAAACTATCGAAAACATTTGCCAATAACAGCATCATGTTAGAAAATGATTTATTATATTAATTTTTTCCATTTACGAAAAGCTTATAACTGAGTCATTGGATGCATAAATGTAATTATAAGACTTTGCAATAATAATAGTTATACTTTTTATTGCATAAATTGTATTTGTAGTCAAAATCAGCAATATATATGTATTTACGTAAAATTTTGTTTAATAATTTCCGATGACCTATATTTTATTTAAATTAATATTCAATACTTATACATTAAGTCATTTAAGTTGAAAATCGAATAAAAAAAAAAAATTGAAAATCTTGTTTTTTTTTTTTTAATATAAAAGTTTTACTGACGATGTTAAAGATAATTATAATACGTAGTTCGACATCAGTAAATTTTTGCGGCTGTAAAAAAAAAAAAAATAATAATAATCTAATATTAACATAGCGTAAGTTAACAACTAATTCAAATAAAATGCGAAGTAGAAAATTACAGATTACAGTTGAAAGTTTCAGTTATCGTGAGGACGACCCTGTTTGAATCGACGTCACTGGGGAAAATCAGATAAGAATGTTTTGTTAAACATGTACCATTAATAATAGTTGTTATAGTTGTTAAAAAGGTAATAAAATCGTATTTAAATGGGCGGGGGGGGGGGGGGGGGTGGCAAAGCCACCGCGGGTCTGTTTTTGGAAAGCGACTCGGTGAATGCGTGGTATTCGTCCATTGAACACGAATTATTCCCTTTTTCGAGTGCGCGGACACCTAGCGGTATTTCGTTCGTTCGGCATCACCGCCGCCGTGCGTTTACGTTGCACGCGGGACACGAACAGCGTCGCGTCAACGACATCGCTTCGCCCTCGTCCCTCAGACACGTGCGTTACGCCAGCACCACCCATTAGGAAAATTTGATTTTTTTTACTATCAATAATAAGCACGTAATTAGCATGAATTTGCATGACCAATTTCGCAATTTGCATGTCATCCATTTCTCCAGAATCGCAAAAATTAACGGACGGTGCTAGCGAAACGTTTCGCCAGCACCGCCCAATCGCAAAAATGGAATTTCATATATTTTTTCACAGCCGTTATTTAGCACGCAATTAGCATGAATTTGCACGACTATCACCGAAATTCGCTCGATCGTTGTTTCCGTGCAATAACGTATCTAAGAATTTGCACGTTTCGCCAGCACCGCCCAAAATCAAAATTTTACGAATTTCTTTCTTTTGAGCTTTTTTGTTCTTTAATATTTTAAGTTAGATTTTTACTATAATATTATAGTGATTATACCATTATTACGATACCACGGCCGCCCGCGACAGTCTCCTAGTGATGACGGTAAGTGTAATATAGACGCGGCGGGAGGATTTCTTTGTTTATCTCTTTCATGCACGAGATTTTGAGTATGCTCCACACCCTTGTTGCACGAATATATACATATATACATACATACGAATATATATATTCACTACTATTTTGTATTTAGAATTATATCCAATTATAGATTTTAGAAATGATACAAAAAAAAAATTAAAATTGTAGGAAGTTACCAAAAGTGGGACAGCGTATTTCATTCTATTTTTGACGCAATATGTACACAAATATAAGACATTGTGACTTGTTATCAGGTATTATTTAACAGTCTGTTCTGTTGTTCACTCTTTTGTGAATATATTTTCATTATTAAAGTGCTTTTTTATTATTTTATCTATAAACTACTTATAAAATGAAAGAACAAAAGCCTTCCCTTCATCCTGATGTAGTAGTTGAAGCAGTGCTTCAATTTAAAGACCGAATAATTGTTGAAGATAATGGTGAAAAAAGTAAGTTAACTGCTGTTTCTTTTATTTGTAAAATGTTTATGTTACCTTTAGCCGTACAATATAATATTTTACTCATTTAAACAAAGTGAGCATTAAATATGAACTAATCTAGATAACTAGATAATTAGGACATTTTTTTACATTATTTGGCATATAATAATAGATTCTATATTAGGCAGTTTTATACTGGGGCATATTTACAGGGAGGGGGGGATCATGGGATCACACTAAAAATGTTATTTTTCATGATAGTGAAATATAATTTAAAATATTTCTTTGTACCTATACCTATCACTACATTAATTTTTTTCATAAAAACATTCTGTATGAAGTATTGTGTGAGTACTATATGGTTATAATAGACATCAATAGGTTGGTTATTATTAGGGCCCGGAATTTTATGCATTGGCATATTTTTATATATTAAATTAAAAAGTAGCTAGGTAAGACAAAAAATTGTATCTTAATCTAATGTGTTGGTATGCGAAATTAAATTTGGTATATTTTTGCATATTTAGAACATTTTAAATTATTATGCATATTTTAGTATTTTTCTGAAATATAATGCATATATAGAAAAAATATTACGAAGTTATTAATATTATTATTTATTACTTAGCGTAAATTAAGTCGTCTGTTGGCTGCCTTGGCATAGTTGTTAGTTCTTATTTAAAAATCAAATTAAAAAATACAAGTCTAAAAGAATTGAATGCACGCCGAGATGTCCTAGACTCCTAGACCGATCACCCGTTTTGCCGTATAGGCGTATCTCGGCGGCAGGAGTCTGCGGGTCGCGTGTCTGCGTAACCTGAACACCTACAGCGGTTCACGTTCTACTTTTTCGCTATTTGTCCCTTATAAGTTCGCTTTTCCATCACGTACAACGTTCTCGCGCACCCACGAAGTCTGACTACGCACGCACAGGTAGTACGCACATCAATCAGAGCATATTTTAACATACAGAGTACGTGGCACTAGCGTCCCCCAGTGGTGGGTGATCATGTCACCAACCAACACATTTTCATAACGACCGTAGTGACAGGTGTTGATTTTCACTTCGTTAATTAATTAACACTTCGTCCGTGAACTACGATGGTAGACAATTTCATTGAAGAGCCACCTAGTGAAAATTACTTAAAATATGTTCTGACATCGATGACTACGAGACGGTCGGCGCGAGATCTTAG